ATTCCTTTTTCACTCTTTTAAATTATTTCACCATTTATATGTATCATAATAGTAAATATCATTTTTCCTTGTTAACCATAATAATTTCAATTTTTTTAATAAAATTGTTTGATTAGTTCAAGAATACAATTTGGTTAATAAAGAAATTGTTTTTACATAATCAGTGCAATATGGATATTTATATAGACGTTCTAATACATATAGATTTTCAGGATGTCAACTTTTTGAATTTTAAAATAAATTTTGTCCGGATATTATAATTTCTTGGACGTGATTTGAAACAGATTCTTCTTAGTTCAAAGAGATTCGTAGAAAACTAAAAAATATCTAAATAATCTATAAATATGTTTAAAAATATTACATCTTCCATTTCAATTTTGGTTGTCGTTGTAGAGTAAAATTTTCGTTTAAAAATAAGTGTCTTTTTATAATTTCAAATGTAATATTTATTAACTTTATCTTCTATTATATTTTTTATTGGTTGAAATGTGGTTAGGTATATAGATAATTGTGTTTTTTCTAGAAAATATGTTAAATTAAATATTTTTTTAATTTGTATGTAAAAAACAAAAATGACAACTATACTGAAACGGAAAGAGTATTAAATAAATTATAAAAATACTAATCCCGTGCGTCTAAGAAGTAAAAGATGAGGAATAAGCAAAACAGAAAATCGGAAGTAGACAAATAAAAATACATGTGTAAACTGTAATTATCTAAGAGATATTCCATGACCCATAATCTTCATGTTATTTTTCATAGCTTGAATAGATAAGCTCACAACACCCATTTGATACCTGAAACATAAGAGATTTACATTACTTTTCTTAATTCAGTCCCATCTTTTCCTAATTCCATTTCTAGAAGAAGACAATTATTAGTAAGAAACAAACTTTTCCATTCTGTTTTTACCATGACAAACAATGAGGTCCAACTAGCTTATTGGTTGATACCTACATCTCCAAGACATATCTGTAATCATCAAAGAAATTGAATTAAGCTTCACTATACCATTATTCGTGTTTTACATTTTTCTCTATTTATATAACTATCTATTTCAAACTCTTACACTCTTCATCATTCTGCATATTAATCTGTCCTTATGTTGTTTACTATATGCTTTTGATCTAACTAAATACTGCAATAAAGCCAACCATAGACACTTGGTTAAATACATCAAATATATGATTAGACAAAACTTTTAAATATTATGACATGAATAAATAAACATATATATATATTTAGAAATTCTCACACTCAGAATCAGTCTTGTTCCATTTATTGGAATTGAAACTTGATCGAGTTTCATCCCTAATCTTATGACTCTCCAAATACTTTTTGCTATAGCATTTGAATGTTGTGGATGTATCTTCTTGTTAAGTATTGTCTTTAGAGCATCAACATCGAGGTATGTTGAGCGTCTCTTAGGGGGGAACACGATTTATCAAAAACCCATCCCTTATGTATGCATAATAAGACATGTTTGTGTGGTACATGTAAGATAAATATTTATATTATTAAAATTGAAGTTCAAAACTGAATTAACCTTAATTTTAACAAATTTATTATATATTTTCTTTATTTCACTCATCTTAATTATTTTATTATTATTTCTTATCAAATAATTTGATAACTTTTATTATAAAAGTGAAAAATAAAATTCATTTAAATGTTTTATTATATCTTTTATATTACTTTTTTTCTTCTTTCAATTAGTTAATTGTATTTACCATAATAATTTGACGTCATTTTTTTTATGTGTAAACTACAGTAATTTCACCTGTTTGAATGAAATTATTCCGTTAGTGCAAGAAATCAAACCAGTTAACAAAGAATTATTATTTTATTTACATAATCAGTTAAACATGAGCATTTAGGTACATGTTTGGATATATATCAGTTTTTTGAGTTTTGAGGTTTTTGGATTTTTAAATTAATTATGTTCAGATATTATAAATTTTTGGATGGGATTTGAATTTGATTCTTCCGAGTAGTACGAATACATTTTTACAAATATCTAAATAACTTATATTTATATATTTTTAAAAAATATTAAATAACTTATAAAAATATAAAACTAATTTCACCCGTGGATCAAATTCTAGTTATAAAATTAGCTCACTCCAATTCATTTTAGTTGTCGTTTTAGATTTTTGCACACAGATAAAAAAAAAACAATTAATTTTGCATGTTTTCAAATTAAAAACATATTTACATGTACACCTAACCACATTTCAACCAATGGAAAAGTAAAATGACATTTAAAATCAATAAATCTTGCATTGAACTTATAAAACGACAGTTATATTGAAACACAAATTTTATTATAAAATGACATCTAATTTGAAACTTAGAGAGTAATAGTAACTACATGTATTCATTGAGTAGAGTCATTATAAGTAATTTATTTTATTATATTTATCTCGGAATTTCGAGATCAAGATTACAAACAAGCAAAATATGATATGACAAAACATACACTCACACACAAACACACACATAGAGATCCATATAAGAAAGCTTCGAGAATGAGACCCCATTGACCCAGTAGGTTAGGGGACTGTTGCAAGTTTTGGAGGAGGCTTGGGAATAAACGGCTTAGGAGTAATCAGTGGGGGCCTTATAATGACACGCCTTGGAATATCTCCAGGATGCTGGATGATGACTGCCTTAGGAGGAGCCGGCGGAGGAGGCGGAGGGTCAGGTGGAGAATCAATATCTGGAGTTTNCCCAGTAGGTTAGGGGACTGTTGCAAGTTTTGGAGGAGGCTTGGGAATAAACGGCTTAGGAGTAATCAGTGGGGGCCTTATAATGACACGCCTTGGAATATCTCCAGGATGCTGGATGATGACTGCCTTAGGAGGAGCCGGCGGAGGAGGCGGAGGGTCAGGTGGAGAATCAATATCTGGAGTTTGTGGTCGTGGTCGTTGTTGTTTGAGTGGTAATGGTTTTGGAGTACCCGGTAAAGGCTTGATGACGACTTTCGGAAGAGGCTTGAGGAAACTGAAGCGTGGAAATGCAGCGTAAGAGATTGTGACAAAGCTGAGTAGTAGAAAGATTATTACAAATAAGAGGTTTTGTTGTTTCTGAAGTCCCATGTTGTAAGAGTCTATATGGTTTGTCACCGGTCTCGTTCTATTTTTATAGATCCAGATAGTTATTCTTCATGATTTTTGTTTTGTTTATAATATTGTTGATTATATCAACGTGCCAAATTTGATTTGTTATTTAGTTTGTCCGAGGTTTTACCTACTGCTCACACGGTTCCCAAAAGTTAAAGAAGGGGTTTTGTCAAGCTTCGTTGAAATTTCGTTTATTGTAAACTTTAAAAAGAAAGATAAAAAAACACTAATATTTGAATTGTATATAAATTAGTAAAAGCGCGCGTTTGATCAAGTACTTGATTCAAGGATTAGCTATCAGTCAATAAATACAAAACAAATATCATTCCAGTTTTTCCCCTTTAATAAGAAATAGTTTTAACTAAAATACTGGTTGTGATACACTCTCGAGCTTCTATGCTCGCTTTGTATTGTCTCTTTCAATGTTATAAAAGAAAATAAGAAACTAAATTTGCCTAAAATACTCTTATAGTTTTACGAACAAACTTTAATTTTCATTAATGTAATTCTGATTATCTAGTCTATTAAAACAAAATTAAAAATCGAAAATTTATTACATCATTTCTTTCTTTATTTCCATTTATCTACTATTTTATTAATTGTTCATTTTCGAATAACTTGACAATATTTGTTATAAAAGTATAAAACATAACTTATCTATTTTTAAGTGTTTTATTATATCTTTTACATTCTTTTTTCACTCTTTCAAACTATTTCACCATTTATATTTATCATAATAATATGAAGTCGATATTTTCATGTTAACCATAATAGATTTAATATTTTTGAATAAAATTGTTTGATTAGTTCAAGAATACAAACCGGTTAACAAATAATTTATTTTTTTAAATATTCAGTTAAACATGGACATTTATGTCGACATTCTGATACATATCTTTTTTTTGGATATCGACTTTTTGAATTTTAAAATTAAACTTGTTTGGATATTACAACTTCTTGGACGAGATTCGGAACAGATTCTTCCAAGTTCGGATAGGCCTATCCGAAGAAACCTAAAAAATATCTAAATAACTTATAAATATGTTTAAAATATTATTAAATAAATTATAAAAATATATGTATTAATTCTGCATACACGTGCGACTCAAACTCTAGTGCGACTCAAACTCTAGTCTACTAGACTGTAGATACAACAACAGTACACAAGAACAAACTGATTTTCCACCACACTAAAATCTGAAAAGAAGTAAAAGATGAGGAATAAGCAAAACAGAAAATCGGAAGTAGACAAATAAAAATACATGTGTAAACTGTAATTATCAAAGAGATATTCCATGACCCATAATCTTCATGTTATTCTTCATACCTTGAATAGATAAGCTCACATCACTCACCCATTTGATACCTGAAACACAAGAGATTTAGATAATTTATCTTAATTTAGTATCCATCTTTCCTAATTCCATTTTCTAGAAGAAGACAATTATTAGTAAGAAACAAAATTTCCCATTCTATTATTACCATGACAAACAATGAGGTCCAACTAGCTTATTGGTTGATACCTACATCTCCAAGACAATATCTGTAATCATCAAAGAAATTGAATTAAGCTTCCCTATATGTACCATTATTCTTGTTTTACATTTTTCTCTATTTATATAACTATCTATTTCAAACTCTTACACTCTTCATCATTCTGCATATTAATCTGTCCTTATGTTGTTTACTATATGCTTTTGATCTAACTAAATACTGCAATAAAGCCAACCATAGACACTTGGTTAATATATGATTAGACAAAACTTTTAAATTTTATGACATGAATAAATAAACATATATTTTTAGAAAATCTCACACTCAGAATCAGTTTTGTTCCATTTATTGGAATTGAAACTTGAACGAGTTTCATCCGTAATCTTATGACTCTCCAAATACTTCTTTGCTATAGCATTTGAATTTTGAATGTTGTGGATGTATCTTCTTGTTGAGTATTGTCCTTAGCATCTGCCATAAAACACATTAATATAGAAAATATGTATAGTTGAATACACTTGATTTTACAATGAGACTGAATACCTTTTCCATTCTTGTAGTTGGCAATGAATCTCCTCTAGACAAATCGAGAAGAGGGGGTGGAATTTTGAAGCCGTTTGTGCAAACAAACATCTTTTTGAGAAGAAAAGACAGTGACTTCTTATTTCCAATAGTGACATCTGTATAGCTCGCAGTGAGATCTTTGCTAGAATCTGCATCTCCTTCTTCTTCATCGTTGGAGCAGATATTGTTTCCAAGTGTTCCAATGGCTAAGAAAGTTTCTTCATCTTGAGGCCAACTTTGGAGGTCTTTGATCGAAGCAGGTCCTGATGATTCTTGAGCTGTATATACACATCAAAAATCTATTCAAATATTTTTACAATGACTGTCTTCGTTTATATAAGAAGTCACTCACCAGAATCTGAAGGTGACTCATGCTTCTTTCCACTAAGTTTTCTTTGAACCCAACTAAAAATCTGTATCCAACAACATTAATATATTACAGGACCAAAGAGATATCTACACAACAAAAACGTAAGTTAATTCTGACAAGTATGAAAACAAACCTTCATGTGTCAAGAGATGTATAAATAAGCACTTGTGTATTCAAGAAAGTTTCTTCTTCTGTCAATTGTCTGTATCTCCCTGAATAGCTTTTAGAAGATCATAGTGGTCCCATGTTTTTAAAGACACAGTGAACACAATTCCCTTGAGCCAGTAAAATGCCAGCACATTGAAATTTGGGTTCAAGTCCCTATAACCCCTTGAAATCAGTTTCTTAGACTTCAAGTCACCATCTCTCTAGCATTTGATCCCATCTTTGTGGACTGTTGAATGTCGGTTCACTATAATCGCATTCTTTAAATAAAATATGGTTTATGATATCGAAATCGAGTAACTAGTAGTACACATGAATTTGTCTATTTTTTACACATTCTCATCTGAAGCAACTATACAAAACTAAGTAAAGCTTTTATATTGGACCAGGGCCGTACAGAAATTACATTTAGTGTGTAAGGTAAATGTACAAACTTACGTTGAAGCTCTTAAAAGCTTTTAAACTCAGAATTCAAAAATCATTTTTTTTATAACTATTCGTCTCCACCACAGGCACAGCAGACATTCGAGCAACATTCAAAGCAGGCAATGCAAGCAAGCGCTGTGAAGAGCTGTGTGAAGACAAGGACACACTGATCATTGAGCTTAGTGCAGCACTGGACACAACACATGCAGCAACATTTGTTGCACAAGGAGACACAACAGCTCGAGGCAGCCTTCACGAACTTCTCGGCAGCATCAGGTGCTCTCTGTTCTCCAAATCCTGGTGGAACATTCTCCCTCGTAGCTGTTTTATCACCGAATCCTATCCCAAAGTTTTGTAGTGGGATTGTTCTTGATATCATCTTCTGTTTCTCGCCATTGCTTGCTGCTGTCTGTTGAAGTATTTGGTGAATATATGAGTTGAAAACGAGTCTGATTTGGTCGAATCAAATAGGCTTTGGTGGAATAATGTATTCATAACTTCTAGAAATGGATAATTACCTTAGTTTCACTGGGTTTCAATGCTTCATCTGTGTTCTCCAACTGGATCATTCGAGTATACTCAGATGGTACGCCGGTTTGGATGCTTAGTTTAGTAATCTGAAACGCAGTAACAACAATAAAGCAGAATGAAGAAGATAATCCTCAAGAGGACAGACAAAATAGAGGAAGTGAAACTGTAAACGAACCTTTTCTTTTAGCTGTTTGTCTTCCGAGAGCCATGCCTCAGCAGTAAGCAAGTCAATAACATTCTTTGCAAACACCTGACCATGTTTAGGAAGTGACAGTTTGTGTTAAAACCAGAGTGTCTTTAGAAGGAATCCCCTTAAGAATGATAATGAGAAGGTGATCTTACTTTATCAAGAGGTATGTCTTTTGCACTTTGTACAGTCAAGTCTACAGAAAAGCTACTCAAGTCTCCTAGCAGACCACTGGCTTTCACATTCTCAGGGAACTTTCCTCGGTATCTCCCATATATCATCAATGGACTTGCAGACGTCAGATCCGGAATATTTGAAGGGTATACCTATTAGTAGCCATAGGTTTCAGTTTCCAGGCAGCAACTTAATATAGTCGAGAAGTAAACAAATACGATTTGCCAAAAAAGAAGAGCAAGCAATCTTAGGATAGAGGCACACCTCAATTTCATCAAGATTCTGCAGAGGTTCCATTGTTATATTCAAAAGAACAGTGGATAAACCCCTTGTAAACAATTTCTCTAATCGTTCCTCGATGTGATCTGTACATCAGATATATGAAAAAATGTTTTAAGAAACTATTACCTATAGTTAACTTTTTCCCTTTAGTATACAATAGGGAGTCAAAATTTTACCGGTATTATAAACTGATTCGTGCTGGCCCCTGGATAGGTTTGCAAGCATCTGCAGGAAGTAGTGGTTACAGAATACACCTGAAATGTTTTAAAGAGTAAATAAAAAGACAACCCTGGGTCCTTTCACATCAAAACCTTAAAACTAAAAATTTACCTAGCCCAAAAGTGTGTATCCGTGGACACACTGATCCAGCACTAGCAAGACGTTTCTTCATTGCATCACAAATGTGTCTCTCATCTTCAACAGACCCATCTGTTATGAAGAAGATCATAGGAATGGAGCCACGAGTGTTCGAGAGCATTTCCACAGACTGAGAGTATTGAAAAAAGTTTGCCAAATTAGTGCCAGGACTCGATCTGAGGGGATACAATCACAAAAGTATAAAGATTATTAAACTACAAGTGAGTGGCGGAAAGACCTTCTCCAGGGGAGGAAGCACGTTTGTACCATCTGCGACAACAAAGTTCTTGTTCATCCACTCAATGCCTCTTTCAACCGTGTCTGGAGTAGCCGGCTCCATTGATGTCGAAAACAGAGAAGTATCATCGCTAAAAGTCATAATGTTGAAGGAATCTCCCGGATTAAGCTTAGATAGAGCTGCCGATATCGCATTGTTTACATTCTCGAGAGGTTTTCCAGCCATGCTTTTACTTATATCAACAACAAATACCACTTCCCGCTTGAATACCTGAAGTAAAACAAAAAGAATTTTAAAGATTGTATTGAACATAGCATTTACTGCACAGAAAAAGAGGTGTAAAATCAAACCTTAGTTCTTTGTTGCTTTCCTGGAAAAAGATAGAACGAAAAGATCTCTCTTTGATCAACGTCTTGAACAGGCGCAGACTGAAGGAAAAGTCCACCAACTATACTACTGGAAGAGGCCTACGAAAAATAAATAAAGAGATAAGCAATCAAAATTTTGAGAATGCAGATGCAGACGTAAAGAGACTACGCGGCACTGGAGCACAAACAGAGATTATTCAAGCAGTGAGACTTCATACCATATAAGAGAAGCTAAAATCTTTGTTCGACCACTTCAAAACATCTGCTTCATATGAAAACCTCAAATTCCATGCGTTCCTCATTTTTTCCTGTAGACATGAACGGGACAAGAAAGTTACAGGATATCATGGACCGTGTTCAGAACAATCTTATAGAAAACCACACCTTAAGTGGATGACTGCATCCTTTGCAGAGAACTTCAGTTCCAGTACCAGCGTTAACAGTCAAATAAATCTTTTCTCTCTTGGAGATTTTCTTCACAGCAGGAGTGACATACTCAGGAAAGTTGAAAGGAATATCGAGGAAAAACTCTCCTTGGTTATACGTCAACTTCTGAGACCAAGACATCTTGATAGAGAGGTTAGTACCTCCATCAACCTGAAAAAGAAGATAATGATACACAATAATCAGAAAGAGGAATAAGCAAACAGAAAGAAAAAAAATCAACACTTGAATAGAAACTTCCACCATCACCTGTGGGATTGTGATGGTGAATATGTTTGGTTTCAAGAAACCTCCAGTTTGATGTTGTGCCGTCTTCTCCAACTCGGTTCCATCTTCAGCTGTGATCAATTGCGTTGTGTAAGATTTTCTAGGAATCTCAACCTCAACACCTAGAATTGATCCCTGTTAGCCATATCATATTAGTTCGAGACCAAAGTCTAATTAAAACCCTATCAGTGAGCTAATTTCATAATGAAAAAATCTCAAAATTTCCCGGAAAACTTAATAGCCAGCTAATTTCATAACGTAAAATCAAAAAATTTCCCGGAAACCCTAAAATTGAGCTAATTTCATAATGAAAAATCTCAAACTTTCTCAGTAACCCTAAAATTGAGCTAATTTCATAACGGATAATCTCAAATTTTCCCAGAAACCCTAATAACGAGCTAATTTCATAATGAAAAAATCTAAAATTTTCCCTATCATATTAGAATTGAGACCAAAGTCTAATTAAAACCCTAACAGTAAGCTAATTTCATAGTGAAAATTCTCAAATTTTCCCGGAAACCTAATAACGAGCTAATTTCTTAACGAAAAATCTCAAATTTTCCCAGAAACCCTAATAGTGAGCTCATTTCATAATCAAAAATCTAAAATTTTCCCAGAAACCCTAAAATTAAGCTAATTTTCATAACGAGAAATCTCAAATTTTCCCAAGAAACCTCAAATTTTCCCGGAAAACCTCAAGAGAGAGAGAGGAAGGGGGAACACGAACCAACCTGTTCACCCATGGGAACAGCAATTCGACAATCACACCTCTTACTCCCCATAACGCAATGAACACGCCACGACCCCGTGACCGTAACCAGAGCCGTGTCGAGATAACAGTCGACGTCGAGCTCAACCGCGTTCATCTGGAGAGGAATCAGAGCGGGAGGGTCGCACCTGCCGTGCACGTGAGGCTGGTAGCTAGGCAGATCCGGGTTATCCACGATTCCCGGGTTGTGTATGACCGCGTAAACCATCGGCGCCGAAGGAAGGTTACCCTGCGGCGTCGCGGAGACTCTCTCCATCGGCGAAGCTAGCTTCGGAGCCGCGACGGCTCTGTCGTTTCCGAAATATATCCGTCTCGCGAGTTTTAGGCCGTCCTCCACCGCTCTCGAGAAATCCTCCGCCATTGTTAGGGTTTGGTTGCTTCTTTGGAAACAACGAATCGAATTGTTGAATCGTTTCGGTTTGTTTCCCTTAGAGACGAGCCGCGCATATATTTTTCACTAACATTAATTTAAGTTTATATGAATTTTTGTGTATTATTACCGAAATGCCCTTTCTTTTTTTTTTGAGCGCGTTAAAGATCCAACGGTTGAGAGCTAGTATGCCGACAATTTGGGCGAATCAGGTTTGCGCATTTATTTTTTTTGTGAAAGAGGATAATGGTGGACCTACGAGGGAAGTATAAATGTTGTTGAAGCATCGGATTCTGGGCTTTTTAATAAGTAACGTTCTTCAACGGTAACATCTCATGGATGCTTGTGCGCACTCACGTGCCGTCGACTAGTCGTTGTGGACCTTGTGGTGGGATCAAGTGACGTCTCACATACACTTACTTTTGGCTGGATTTTTTTTAATTTTGCTTTTAATTGGCTGGATTGTCTCTTCTGGCATGGTATTTTTGGGATTGGTCTAAAACAAATCAAGACTTTATAACCGTAATACGTATGTGGAGAGTGATGATTAATTATTAGATGCTGCGATTATCTGAGTTATGATTCATTAATAATTGCTGGGATTACAATACTACTAATTAATCCTTCTATTTCATAATAAGTGTCATTCTAATTTTTTTTCTTATCACAAAAAAAATGTCACTTAACAATTACAATGCAAGTTATACTCCCTCTGTTTCATTATAAGTGTCACTCTACAGCTATGCACACAGATTAAGAAAATAATTAATTTTACATATTTCCTATATAAAAACACAGTTACCCATACACCTAACCATATTTTAACCAATAGAAAAACAAATTACATAATAAAATTAATAAATTTTGCATTGAAAATCGAAAACGACACTTATTTTGTAACGCAAAAAATTCTCTACAACGACACTTAATATGAAACGGAGGGAGTATTTACATTCAGCTGAAAATTAATTGAAAACTGCATTGATTTTATAAATAAGTTTATTTATCTCAAATATTATTAGTCAGAAAGGTATAATTAATAAAACTTTACATATATTTTCGCTATTTTCTTAATCTGTGTAAAAAGTGTCAAACTAACATTTATTCAGAAACAGGAGAGTAATAATTGCTAGGACTATAATGCTTGGATTACAACTTTGAAATTTGCAATCCAATTATAGAAATGGTAATAGTATTCATTAGTGATGATTAATTCTAGGAGTAACCGCTGCAAATAAAATACCAATACTATTCCTTCCCTCCGTTCCTTTAAGATATATATTTTAGAAAAAAAAATTGTTTTTAAAAAATCCAACTTTTACATTTTCAATGCATGTTTTATTAATTAATTGTAAATTTCAAAAAAATTAATAGCATTAATTAATTTTTTCTTGGTTTAAAATTATGGAAATAAAATAAATAAAAAAAATTAGGTAAATTTATTATGTTCTATTAAAAGTGTGAAAAAACTAGAATGTAGATCTTTTAGTAACATATGAAGTATAATTTTGCTGGGCGTTAAAACTAAGAGAAACGGTTAATCACTTATATAAAAATCCATATTTATATATTACTGTGCTCAAAAACTTCTTTCTGACTGTTAGATAAAATGATGCTTGATTTCATAAACATGGATTTATTTTTTTCCCTTGACATCTTGTTCTATCTTTACCCTAGGGCCCAGGTTATCCTTGCGTAGCAGAGAGAAAACTAAGGACGTCTAGTTCCACCTAGAAGAAGATGGATGTTATGACCAGCCAAAAGGTTTGTCAGAGAAACCTTCTACGTATTTACATTTCTGCTGCGCTCCTCTTTCACCACACTCAAAGCTTGTAGCTCTCCCATTAACTTTTCATACTCACTTTTAACCTTCTCTAGCTCGCTGCTTAGATTTATGGCCTGCAAGTAGTCAGAGGACCCAAATTTTAACACAAATGAAATCAAGATCGCCTTTACAATAATTTGGTTTCGAACTCATTATCGTAGATCTTATTCTGCAAAATATGGAGGAACCCAATGGCCCATCGATGGATACGGAATTGCGCCATTAACCAACTCAATAACTGATTAATAAATAGCTTATTAAAAGAAACAGAGGACAAGACTCTCAAGGAGAGATGCTATATTAGCTCCATCTATTTTTGATATGGCTTTAGAGGAGGTTGGGATTTTTAGCAGGAACAAGGGTAAGTCAAAATCAAAGAGACAAGTAGTTAGTAAAAGGTTGTTAGTGTCCTAAGAACGTACCTTGACTTCAAGATTTTGACTTCGCACCTTGTGGTCCAACCATCTGAGTATCATAAATATCATCAATTTATGGGAGATATCACAAACAAACGCAGAAATTGACAGATATATGGTTTACATATTCACTTACTTTGCTCGGAGCTTCTTGTTTTCTTCCATCAACTTGACAATTTCATTATCTTGTGACCGATTAGCAGATCCTTGTTTGAACTTCATAGCATGTGCAAAATCAATGAAATTAGAGAAATGGAATAGGCAGAAGTGGCTACAACCTAATTTGTGGGGCACATGTGCATCAATGCATGGGATATATCATTCATATATGGGAAATGCGATATCTACTAGTATAATGATCAAGTAAAACCCAGTATTCACACTTTTTGTACGTATTTTCTAGGCGACGTCATGGGGTAAACATGTTCAATGGGATTAAAAAAAAGAGGAGAAACATATGTTAGATACCTGTTCAACACGAATATGCCCCGGGACAGTGAAGCCATCACTTCCCACCTTTCTTCTTGACGCTGCACTTGCAATAAGATCAGGATGTTCTTTCCTCTTCTCCAACACCACTGCAACAATAATGCAAACGTGTCAGCATCAACGAGAATTCGTTATGCAACAGGAAATATACAGTACAAAACTACAATAATTCTAGAAGCATTTGTAACGACTTTAGAAAAAGAGTCAGTTATCCAGTAAGATATTGCGTATTGCGTTGTTCTATTCTACTTTTTTACGTATGGGAAGTGAAATTGTTGCAATGTCAATATAGAGCCTTTGCAGCACTATCACTTTGACGATGGCACATCCTGGACCAATCCAGGGGTTAGCAGTCGATTATTTAAAACTCTAGTTTTAATGTAGTCAAAGACCAAGTATGATCCCACTGACTTCACAGTTAAACTCTTCGTATCATTTTACCTGGCTCAGCTGAAACTCTAGGGAGAGATGCCAGGTTTGTGTTATGAGAAACTGCTGGGAAGCCTGGAGGAGGATTTATTGTTTGTCTGCCACTATATCCAGCAGAATTCTTCTGGAGCATGTTGATATTTGGCCTACCACCAGATTGTACATTTTGAGGCACCTTAGGACGAGGTTTCTTAATATCTTGATATCCAACCAACTTATAATGGCAATTCCTGTTAAAGGTTACCAATCATTTGAAACAGTAAGAAACACAGGCAAGTGATACAAGCCAAACAAGATAATGGGGAAACTTTTAGAGGAAAAACGGAGGACTAAAATCCCATATCTTATATGGTATTCTCCTTATATACTTTGGAGACGGAATAGATAAAAGTAGCAACATAACAACAGCCACCAAAAGGATAAGGATTAAGAAATTACCAATACTCCGTTGTCATTTCCTTTAAACGGTTTTCAAGTTTCTGAAGAAGGACCGTTTTTTCAAAATCCTGCTTGTTATGGGTTGGCTCAACAAAGTTAGCTTCTAGAGCACCTGCAAAACCATAGAAATTAACATAAATTCACTCATCAGAGAGAACTGTGCGAAATACAACCAAGTCAGTAGGAACTCTACTGTTTTATTGATTCATCCGTTTTGCAGCTTCTTACCAACTATTCCTCTTCCTCTGCTGTTTGAGTTGCTCACGACCTGCCAAAATGGCTGAAAGAAGCAAAACAAAGCATACAAGGTCAAAAAAATTGTGTGCAGGACTAGTGAATTAAAAAAACTTGACAAGAGACTGTGGTCAATAGCTGTGGTGGGAAAAAATTGTAGCGATTTTGAATCTACATATGTTAAGTAGATTGTATATGCATGAAAGTATCAGTATAGACTTTTAGACATTTCTTGCAAGATTATATATGGCACAGCCGTGCAAACAAAATTGTAACAAATTATTAAAATATTATCCTGGTATATGATAATTCCTTTTTCTAGTTAATGTGAGCTAACATAGTTAACATTTCAAAACTCACCATTATTAGGCGGTTTTTGTGATAAACGCAGAACCCACTAAGGTTTATTTTGGGAGCTTCTTTCAGAAATCCAATCGTCGTTACAACTTCAGCCTGCTCATTGAACTCCGAGATTAGAATCTTAATAAAGGGAAATAACAATTACGAAGTACTAAAAGAAGTCCTGATATTTTGCGCACCTCTTCATGTCCAGCAACATGAGGCTTATACAAGATGTACTGCGGATACTTGAGATCATCAGCAACGTTATGCTGCTGAACAACCTTGCCACGCAACACAATCTTGAAAGCCTCAGGAATCCGCAAGTATAGTATGGATAGGTAAACCTGCAAAAAGGTATCAGCAGAGGAATGAATAAACACAGATTCCCATAATCTATGTCTATGTGTATTACGTATTTCTCACGAGTAGTCATGAGTACATTCATGCATACATGTACGGTTCAATATTAAAGTGTATGCCCCTTGTACATTAAGATAAGCATGAACGGTTCCCAACATATTGACCAAAAGAAATAGAAGCTTACACGAAGAGAGTAGGAAAACCGGGTTGCAATATGATCATTTGTAATCTTACATCCAGTTTTTTTAATGTTTCCTTCAATGAGAATATCCTGTAATATGCAAGGAACAAAACAAGTTCTCAATCAAATGATCAAACTTCGCAATGAAAAGAAGATCAGAGACAAGAACGATAAATACTGTTAACCTCTGAAGCCGAGTCAAAGTCTAATTCCAACTTAGCATCGCTGTTGAGCCATAAATTATAGACAACAACCTTTGTCCCATGTGATCCAATGTCGTCAAACTGTCAGAAGGAAAAAAAGAAGCATGAACTTATAAGTGGAACCTAAAGCTCAACAAAAGCTTAATGAAAAGTATCATAACACTGAAATATCCGACTCATGAATCTCAAAGTTTTAACCAAGTCACCCGTAACTATGCAGATTGTAAACAACATGGGTTGCATGGAGAAATTTTTAAAAGAAGACTTGCCTGCTGCAAAAGTTTTGCCTCTGTTGAAAACGGAGACCATTCTAGTAGAATGGAGAGACTGGATATGAAATGTTCTCGGTCTTGCATTGTCACAAATTCGCTAGTTGATGCCTTATACTCGTAATCCAACTGGTTATTCATTAGCCTAAGCAGTTAGATTATGGAAAACAACGCACATTTTGTATATGTGAGGGAAGAAGACTTACAATGGGAACAACTATTCTATCATGGCCAGTACGTGTCAGGTACGTATAAGAAAGGAGCCCTATACTTTGTGTCCATGTTCTAGCCAGATAGAAAAGAGAACAATTCAGTAAATTGAAAAATGAATGAATAATGGAGATTAACAACAATTGCCACTAACTGGTTATTAAAATGCCGGCTGAAAACAATGACATCTGCTCCAAGTCTCATTGTGCTGGTCTTGAAACCATTACCATCTAAAAGAACCATAACGAAGAATGAGATACAGAATCATATCTAAAGATTTCTAATAGAGATATGGGTTGCAGAATCATAACTAAAGATATGATTTCCAAGAGATTTCTAATAGAACGAAGAGAAAGATTCATACATCTTCCAATGGCTGAATCCGATTTCTTATCTGAGAATCCGAAACCCATGCAATGACGCATAGCCTGAGGATCCATCCCACCACCATCATCTGAAATTTTAACGCAAATATGATCAGAAAAGCCTTGCTTTTGCATGCTTCCCTAGTGAAATGAGGCTGAACTATTTCCAGAAAAAAATACATGCAAAATTACCTTGAATTAGCAGTGCTGGTGTACCATCCCTAGGATTTGTGATTTTATCTACAATGACAAAAGTGGCCCCATTTTGGATCTATAGGGTGATAAAGATACGGAGCACAAACCATATTAATACATTGTCATTCAGAGCTTTCAAAATTATCAATACTAATATTTAGGGCACGCTTCCACCTCGATGAAACAAAAGAAAAGAAGCGCCTGAGTTCCCGGAAAGGACAACTTCACTATCGAGAATATTCTTAAACGACTATATCAAGAACTTTAAGTTTCGCAACAATTTCGGTTTTGCAAAGACACTAAGAGAAAAGAAGTACCTCATCAACAGCATTGTCAAGCAGTTCTGCAACAGCTGCAGATAGAGAAAGACAGATAAGTCTTGTTAAAACGTTTGAATAATGTTTGCTCGCCACATACCAAAAAAAGGGGAAAACCATGATTACATACCACCAAAAGCCCATTTATGTGAAGTAGCATTGGAGTGAAGGAACATAGGATGCACATGAAGATAATTTTTTCCAGCTGTAAAACATATGTCAAGAACAGTAAGTAAAAACGCTCCCACATAGAAAAAAAAACCTCGATTCAAGGTAAATGAAACGATGTTTCTCAAGCGTGTATCACTCAGAACATTACAAGTAACCTCCAGAGAGTACTAAAGACTGAACACAACCAAGTAAACGATAACTGAGAAAATATTAGCATACTTGGCTGCTGAGACTTTGAACTTAATTCATCATTATAGCTCCCAGCTTTCCAAAATTGCCTACAAACAGGTGCAGCGCATATTTCAGATGCAGAAGAAGTGACACCGGCATCTTCAGGCGGCGTCCGAACCTGATCAACCACACTAGTACTACTCTGCGCACCACCGAGTGATCCTCTATTCTCTTCAGAGTCTTGAGGTAGAGCATGATTCCCTTTGGAACCATAAAGATGCTCAGGTTTAACAACCAAAGCATCATGAGAAGCGTTTATACTTGTATTGTTGCTCATCTCGTTTTATCTGCAACAAACGAATTTCATAGTCATATATCATAATCACAGATCGTAAGTTTCAGAATACGATTGTTCGTTCCCTAACAAATCCTTCAGAAACTCACTATGACCTAGAAAAATAAAATTTAGGGGAAGAACAAATCGCAAACGCCTAGGATCTTCGCTACGAAGGATTTGAGTTTACCTGACGATAATTCTCATGCAAATCGAGACTGTTGATTTCCTTCGCCACGACACTGTGCGAAGATGTAAATAGAGGAGGAGGAGGAGGAGGAGATAATCAAATAACGATGAGAAATCGACGGGATTCTCTCTCTGGTATAGTGATTAGATTTTACCACTACGGCGTGAATTTGACCTAGAAACTTCTTCACGGCGTTGAGAGAAGG